ACTCAAGACTTTTAGAGAGTCTCGAGCATGGATTTTTGGTTCGACATCATGTGCTTGGACGGTCTTCGACATTTACCTTTGACCGTGAGACTTTGCAGAGCATGCCAGTTCCTATCAGCTCACTGCAGAAGTGCGAGATCACCAACCCTGATGCCAACATGGGCAAACCACTGCTGGAGCCCATTCCAGCCGAATCCACCAACATCAGCTCTGATGGTTGGCTTGGAACGACCATGTTCCCTTTGACCAAGGAAGCCTCGTCAAAGTATCAACAACCCTTCTTCAACATCGACAACAAAGTCCACAAGTCCAAGAGGACGAGTGATGAGATCAACGAAACAACATGGCTGGCATCTGTGGCCAACAAGAAGAAGAAGGACAATGAGGCTGATCTCAGAGAGTCAAAGATGAAGCTGGAAGACAGGCTGAAGTTCCTGGAGGGCAAGAAGCCGAGCTCAGTTCCATCTTTGAGAACAATGTTTGGCACTTGGAAACCAATCCAGACTCCGTGACCCCAGCCGTGTCATGAAGGCACGTTTTGAGCTAAAATGGGCTGGTGATGGTAAAGGTGGCTTGCGTGCGAAGGCACGTCTGGTACTACAAGGCTTTTCGGACCCAGATCTGCTGAATGGAGAGCTCGACACATCCTCTCCGACCTTGGGAAGACCTTCCCGCCAGGTCATGCTTTCACTGATGAGTCTGTCGGCATGGACGGCAACAGTGGCTGACGTAACAACCGCCTTCCTGCAAGGTGACCCGCAGCAGCGAGAGTTGTGGGCCAAGCTTCCAAAAGATGCATGCGACGCCCTCAACATGCCGCATGGTTCATTAATGCGCCTCGTCAAGCCTCTGTATGGGCAACCAGATGCCCCAAGAGCCTGGTATATGGTTGCCAAGAGGAGGCTTGAGCACATTGGCTATCAGGTGCACCCGCTGGATGGATGTCTTTTCAGACTCTATAGCCAACAAGGTCAACTGATTTCCCTTGTTGGAATACATGTAGACGACTTGCTGATTGCAGGCGATGAGTCCAGCGCAGAGTTCCTGAAAGCACGTCAAGAGCTTCGTGAACAGTTCTCCTTCAAACACTGGACACCATACGAGGACGGCAAACCACTTGAGTTTTGTGGATGCGTACTTGACCAACAAGATGGTGCCTGGATTTTGCACCAAGCACCATACATCAAGAAGATTCATCCCTTGACCGTGCCACCACAGAGATCTGAGGAGTCATCTCTTCGAGGTCTTCTTGGTGGGCTACAGTGGCCATCAACTCAAACATGCCCACACCTGAGTGCATCGATCTCTCTGTTGTGTGGCGAAACCAGCAAGGCCACAATTGGCACACTTCGTCAAGCGAACAAGACCCTCAAGTTTGCCAAAGAAAACATTGACGTTTCTCTGAAATTTCCCAAGCTTTGCAAGCCTGAAGATGCGGTGATGGTCGCTATATGTCTGATGCAGCATGGGGGGTTCGTAAAGATCTTCAAAGGCAAGGGGGGTACCTAGTGTTGCTCTCTCATCCTAAAGTTCTCCGTGGAGAAGAAAGTGAATATATCATCCTGGACTGGCGCAGCTACGGATTGTCCAGGGTGAGTCGCTCTTCACTCAACTCAGAAGCGCAAGCATGTGCTGGGGCTATACCTCATGGTCTTCTGGCAAGGTTGTTTGAGTCCCACTTTCACTCTGCAAGAGCCTGGCGAGTTTGGCAGGATTCTCCAGTCAGCACTGGTCATAGATGCTAAGGCACTATCTGACTGTTTGCGTGCTGAAACTCCACAATTCCAGGGCGACAAGCGCACCAAGATAGAGGCCATGATCGTCAAAGAGACCATGAAAGAGTGCAATACCACAGTTCGCTGGATCAGCAGCGAAGTCCAATACTCGGACGGGCTCACCAAAATCGGTGCTTGCCAGCTATTGGCTGATCGTCTGAGAACACACATGATCAAACTGACTGCTGACGAGAGCTTTGTGGCAGCCAAGCGGAAAACCCAGGAAGAGCGGAAAACCCAGGAGGAGCGCAAGATCAACTCACGCAGATTTGCTCAGTCGAAGCATCAACTGGCAACCTTTGTTTTCCTGGCTAGGATCACGACTGGTGTGGCAACGACTGAATTTGCTGAGACTGCCTCCGAATCCATGTTTTTTCGACTTGCTTGGCATTATTTTTGCGTTCTTTGTGATTTTCATGACATGGCTCCTTTTCAAGAGTTTTGCTGTGAAGAAATTATTGAAAAGAGATCAATCCACCAATACTGATGAATTTGACCTTCAGCATGCTCATCTGAGCATCATGTCGAAGCAAGAGCTCTGGGAACTCTGGAATTTGGCGATGGAAGAGGAGAAGAAAGCGCATGATTTGGCTGACAGCTATTGTCAACGACTTGGCATAGCAGAGATTGAGGTCGAAGATTGTAAGAAAACTAATTTGTATTTAGAAGACGCCATTGATGAACTCCAATTGATTGCCGAGGGCAAGACTGAGAGTCATGACAAATATCCCCAAGAACTTCAAGACATTTTGCATCAGAAAGAAGCAGTGATATCAGGCAAGAACATAATGATCCATTTCTCATTCATGTTGCCTCTCGTGGAAACTGCTGGCATCGAGATGAGAACGCCGGCCACTTGCGCAATTCCACCACCAGAGCACTGCATGGATGCGAGCTTTGTGGCACTGAACTTGAGATGATCAATTCCCAATGTGCGATGACAAATTTCCATATCAATACAATATAACAATTCCATTTTGAATTTCCCATATCCAGTGGCAAGGCGCTGTGAAATAGCAGTTTTTCCGCTTCCACCGACGTGAAGATTGTGCCACAATCTGTGGTCTTTCCGTTGCCGTTAGGGCCCTTGAGCCTTTACCTGCATACCTGCAACACTAAGGAAAACCGGCATTCATTTGGACATTGACTTAGGCAGGTCTTTCCAACTTGTCATCTTGTGCTCGCACGAGTGACATCTTCATAGTTACAGTAATAGATGCAATGTTTGTCATCCCCCTTTGAATTAAGCAAAAGTGTTGGTGTGAGCAATTTTATAGTGATAAACCTGGAGACGTTAACCCTCTTTCTGAAAATGCACCTATAAAATCAGAGACCCCAAGGTATTTTCAAGTTGACAATCTCTATAGGATTGCTGTCACTGAAGTTGTTTATGAGCATCATTTTCTATAGAATAGCTGCCGCCAAGTCACTCTCGTAGAGCCTTTTTTAGGTTGGGGGGGTTAGTTGGCCTTCTATAAAATCAGATGCCCCAACTCCTTCATCTGACAGCTGACCTGAATGCTCCAGTTGCTCGTGCCTAGCTTACCTCATGCATTCCAACTGTTTCATTCTGTTTCCATCCGTTTCCCTTGTTCATTCTGCCCCCAAGACTCTCAGCTGAGTACCCCTAAACAAAGCAGGGGGTTAAAACGCACCATTTTCCCCAGCTTAACTGTTGCGATTTTGTAGAGGAAATTCCGAGATTGTTTATTTTTTTTTGTATGCTTGCATACTGAGGGGGGAAATTCGAATGAAAACTAAAATTTAAGAATTAGTTGGTTTTTTTTTGCGTTTTTTGAGCCAGGTGTACGGACTGAGGTGATTACTGGTGCTATCTGGTGCTTAAGTATGTTTGATATGCTCGGGAAAACGCGCCAGTACTTTTTGTCCGGGTTGGCGGGGGTGTTAATGTTCATGGTAACTTGCGTCACATGCACATGTTACGTCACGTCACTGGGTTGGGGGAAGTGCTAACGTTCATGTACATGTTACGTCACGTCACCTGGTTGAGGGGTGTTAAACTTTATGGTAACTTGCGTCGCATGCACATGCTACGTCACATCACAGGGTTAGGGGTTAACGTTCATGTTATATAACTTGCGTCACACGCACATGTTACGTCACATCACTGGGTTGGGGGGGTTGGGGGGGAGGTGTTAACCTTCATGATACCTTGCGTCACATGCACACTTTACGTCACGTAACTGGGTTGGGGGGGTGTTAACGTTCATGTTAACTTGCGTCACATGCACATGTTACGTCACGTCACCTGGTTGGGGGGGCTGGGGGGGAGGTGTTAACCTTCATGATAACTTGCGTCAGATGCACATGTTACGTCACGTAACTGCTTGAGAAGGACCCTTCCTTGCTAGTGGTTTAAGAGCTTTATCCATCTTAGCTAGATGTATGTTAAAGCAAAGCTTGTATGTTGTTACCTCATTGCTTAACTATTGTTAAATGCTTGTTAGCTTTTAGCCAAATTAACAACCTTAGCTAAGATTTAACCTAAGATTGATAAGTGGGCTACTAAGATCTTAGCCAACTTAGCTCATTTAGCCTTTGGTGGTTGCGTTGTGTTTTTTTGGTGTTTTCCTTGTGATTGTCCTGGCAACATCATCTTGCAGCACAGCATTCCAGAAGAAAAAAGTTTATTGCCACTGCTGTTTGTGTGCAGCAGAAACATATTTTCCATGTTGCAAAGCCAAGCATTTATTCATGTGCAAAGGCATGTGCATGGATTCAGCACATAGTGCTTCCATTGAAACATTTTCCCACTTTGTTTCTTTATAGACTTAGCACACAGTGCTTCCAAAGCAGCCAATGCTTTCCAAATGCTCACATGCATGTGTACTTAGCAGACAATGCTTTTCAAAAGCTTCAGTTAAGGTTCAGCTGCATGTTGCTCCAATGGCAGCAGCTATAGCACTTGGTGCTTCCAAATGCTCACATGTGTATTTAGCAGACAATGCAGCTTCAGCTGGTCCAGCTGTATTTTGCTCCAAGTGGCATTGGTGCTTCCAAAGCAACCAATGCTTTCCAAATGTTCACATGTGTACAACATGGCATGCCACAATGTGATGCCATTGCAAATTTCATTGTTGAAAATGTGTCACCTTTTGTTGGATAGCCAGACCAATTTGCCTTTGTGCTGCCATAGACCAAAATCTGCAGAAGTTCATCGCCAAGGTCAAGGATGACCCAGGCATACCAATTGGCACCAAGTGGATGCAGATCCAGCAGAAGCTCCAAGAGAATGGTTTGATGTACCAGCAGACCTTGAAGCCCACCCAGCCCTTGGTCCATCCACTCAATAGAGGTGGTGCCATGCTGTCCCACTATGATTGCCACCACAAAGGGGCCAACATACTGGCCATTGGGCCAGATCTGAACAAGATCCAAGCCAGTGTGGCCATAGAAGTGCCCAACCAGATGGCCAAGAAGAAAAGCCAGATTGCTGCCAATGATCAGAGGGCACTTTGTGCTCACCAAGTGGCCAGGAAAGGTTTCTCAGCTTGGGTAGTAGACATTTGAGCCAATTTTGCAAGGCTGTGCTCCATGGCTGCACCACCTTGAATGAGGAACTGGCTGCCATCGCCCACAATGGCAACTTGAACCTGCAATTCTGTTGTGGAAGCCAAGGGAACCAGAACCCCTTCTACACCATGTGCACAGAAGGCTGGGAATGAATGGGACATTATTGTGGCACAAGTGGAAGATATCTTCCCAGATTTGCCACAGCTGATCCAAGCAGCTTTGAATTCCTCCCATGGGATTGCCCAGGCACAAACAGAGATTGAGATTATGGCATCCATGGCCAGCCGCCATGCAGTACCAATATGAGTGGCCACATCATACAGTGACCATTGCCAAAGGCAGCAATGTCTTGGCAAGGGAAAAAAAGTCTGCAGTTTCCTGACCAGTTGTGTTTCTAAGTTACCACAGCATCTTCTCCATGTGCATTGCTTTGAAAGCACCAATTTTAGCACCCACTGCTTTTGGCATGCCACCTGGATAGCTTCTATTTTAGCACCCAGTGCTTTTGGCTTAGCACCCATTGCTTTTCATACATGCAAGCCATGCATGCTTCATGGACATGTTGCTTGTGGCATAGCACTCAGTGCTTTTGGCATGACATAGTTGCTTCCAATTTGCTTTTGTGCACCAACTTTTCTTCCATTGAGATGCAATCACACCATGGGCAATGAGCTGAGTGGATGGCTTCTTCATGGAAATCCAAAGCAGATTTCCATGTTGTACATACAACCAAACCCAATGGATTTGTTATATGTTGTTGCCAGGATAATCAGTATAGCCATCAAATGCAAAAATAATGCTCCATATTCTTGCCAGGATAATCATTATAGCCATCAAATGCAGAAAATCATGCACCATTCTGATGAATTTGGTTCTTTTATTTTCTTTCTTCAACAAGTTTATGTTCCCACCAAAACACTATATGTTAAAGGATTCCATCGAACGAAATTGAACCTTAGCAGATACTTAGCAGATGCTTAGCTAAGTACCTCCTAAGTGAGCTAACTAGGCTAAGTACTTAGCAAGGAACCGTCCTTCTCAAGTGGGTTGGGGGGTGTTAACGTTCATGTTAACTTGCGTCACATGCACATGTTACGTCACGTCACTGGGTTGGGGGGTTGGGGGGAGGTGGTAACCTTCATGATACCTTGCGTCACATGCACATGTTCCGTCACGTCACTGGATTGGGGGTGTTGACGTTCATGTTCACCTGCGTCACATGCACATGTTAGGTCACGAAACTGGGTTGGGGGGTGTTAACGTTCATGGTATCTTGCGTCACATGCACATGTTAGGTCACGAAACTGGGTTGGGAAGTGTTAACGTTCATGTTAACTTGCGTCACATGCACACGTTACGTCACGTCACCTGGTTGGGGTGGTGTTAAACTTTATGGTAACTTGCGTCGCATGCACATGCTACGTCACATCACAGGGTTAGGGGTTAACGTTCATGTTATATAACTTGCGTCACACGCACATGTTACGTCACATCACTGGGTTGGGGGGGTTGGGGGGGAGGTGTTAACCTTCATGATACCTTGCGTCACATGCACACTTTACGTCACGTCACTGGGTTGGGGGGTGTTAACGTTCATGTTAACTTGCGTCGCATGCACATGTTACGTCACGTCACTGGGTTGGGAGGTGTTACAAGTAACGTTCATGATAACTTGCGTCACATGCACATGTTACGTCACGTCACTGGGCTGGGGGTGTTAACGTTCATGTTAACTTGCGTCACATGCACATGTTACGTCACGTCACTGGATTGGTTGGCGCCATGAAGCTTGCAACCACTCTAAAGGGGTATTTTGCATAAAGAAACGAATAAGAAAAAGAAACTATTCTGATTCGCACAGTGGAGTCGATGTGATGTGGCGACTGTCAAAGTCCGCCATACCATGTAGTCTCTCGACCAGAACCAACGGCCATGTTAACCCAAAATTGATGCGAAGAATCAGGGTGTGGCAATGGCGTTGGATGAACTCCAAAACCAAAAGCCTTTTGGAGGTCACTGGTCGCGATGTGAGGGGGAAAAAACATCGCGTACCTTTTCAAGAACAAATTCCCTGTAAATTACAGGCCATCATCAAAAAACCAGTTGAAATTCCCAGGGATTTGTAAGCCTATTTTGGGGAATGAATCAGTAGTTTCGCTATGAAGCCACTTCACTGTTAAATGGTGTTTTCATAATCTGTTGGTTGTTTCAATTTTTTTGGGGGCCTGGTTTTTATCGATACCACTGTTCATTGTTTTATCATGCTGTAGCAGGAAGATTTTACTATTGAACCAAAACCCATTTGCTGCAACATGCTAAGTTAGGGAAAAAACCAATGATTTTTCGGTGATAGCTTTGAACCATACCCCATGGGTTCGTTACTGACAGATGGACAGCCACTAAATGCATGCCAATCATCATCATATCATAGTGAAACTTGTTATTTTGTCTCATTTTTCATCATGTGTTATTTACTGTTCTTGTTCATGTTTCCCAGTTTCCCACCTTTCCTGGCCCTTATCAGCAGGAACAGGGCGGTCGGAGGGAATGGGCGGTGGGAGTTTAGGAAGCAGGGATTAATAATCATAATTAGAACCTCTTGCAAAAGAGGAATGCGCTGAAAGGTGCACCCCAGAGTCTGGTTTCCAGCTCTGGCATGTAAGTCACATGATTCAAAAAATTGACCTGTTTGTTTGTCATCATTGTCATTTTGCTATTTTGCATTGTTTATTGTGTTTATGGTCGTTGGTTTGTTGACAATGTCATATGGGGCATTCTTACCAAGGTTGACCATCATTAAACGTAATCTTAAATATAGGACCTCTTGAGAAAGAGGAATGCGCCGCAAGGTGCCATCCAGAGTCTGGTCTCCAGCTCTGGCATGTGTATTTCCAGGATTTGTTCATCCATCCTGGCATGAGATGATATGGTTTGATTGTTCCCACGGTTCACTCAACCTTGGAATTTTGGATGATCAAACCCCATCAATGCATTTTGGGTTTGGGGAAGAAATCATGTGTTTTTTCCAGGATGTGGCTTCCCAGCCTGGCATGGCCATGACCACAAAGCTATGGCTTCCAGATTTACAGATGATGGGTCTTCTTATTGTTTTTGGGTTGTTTTCCAGGGTGTGGTTTTCCAGCCTGGCATGTCCATGGCCACAAATCTATGGCACTCAGATTTACAGATGATGGGTCAGTCTTCTTCTTCCTATCTTTGGGTTGTTTTGCAGGATGTGGTTTCCTATGGCTTCCACCTTTAAACATGATGGGTATTACTCTAACTATCTTTGGGTTGGTTTCCAGGATTTGGTTTCCCAGCCTAGCGCTAGCCATGACCACAAATCTATGGCATCCAATTTTAGACTTGATGGATACTACTCTGATAATATTTGGGCTGATTTTCAGGAGGTGGTTTCCCAACTAATGAACTAAACACCTAACTATAATATATATATATATATATATTATGTATATTTCTAAAATGCTAAGTAAGTAACTAATTAACTACCTAACTAGCTGTTTATTCACACCCTGTTACATGGCTACCCAGCATGGGCCATGACCACAAATCTATGGCATCCAATTTTTAAAAACATGATAGATATTAAATTACTCAAAAATTGTAATTTTCCAGGATGTGGTTTCCCAAATAGCCCGAGCCATGACTGAGAACCTTTGGCTTCCAGCTGTACAAATAGGGTTCTGTAATGGATTGGTGGTGAGTAGTCACTGTACTCACTGACAGATATACTGAATTTTGTTTTAGACATGCAGAGTTTAAGACCCATTTCAGCAAACAGCACATATCATGTGTTAGCCAAAAAGATTAGTTTTATCAATGCTTTTCTGCACATCTATCTAGAAAAAAATGTCTGCATGGTTTGTTCCTTTTTGAACTTTAGGTAATGATGGTCCCCGTGATCCATAGGTGTGCACTGTAGGATGGTGCTTTTTTGTAGCGTTCAAATTCAAATGGTGAACTTTGGTTGATTTTTCGCCCAACTGCACTCCCCAAGGTTGTTTTTTCTTAAGGAAGGCATCTTGGCTTTGTCACACTTGAGCTGACGCCACTAATTTTTTGTGACTTCCATGGCACATGGAACCTTGGCCAAGGTGCTGTCTATCTCTGAATCTGGGCACTAGTTTTTGGGTCTGCTGTCAATGTTTGCAGGGCCTCATATATTGTTCAAGTTGTTTTTGCTTTGCTGTGATGGCAGCAGCATTGCGGCAGGCTTTGCGTGATAGTTGGCACTGAGGCTTGGTCTTTGGACGCTGGTAGTTCTTAGCCTTTCTTCAGATAATATATGACCGATATCTTTCTGATTCGGCCCAAGGGCCAACTTTTGAACTTTGGTTCTAAACTTTTATCCCAATGGTTCTTGAAGGCAAATGTTACTATTTTGGGTTTGTCCTGCAACTTACCAGGTTCTGGAATTCTAGAACCTGGAGCAGTTCCTGGAATTCCAGGAACTGCGTGTAGTGAACATGTTTATCTTTCAAGTTGAAGTCATCTCTTGCAGGGTAGTGAACATGTTTATCTTTCAAGTTGAAGTCATCTCTTGCAGAGTTTCCTCTTCCATTTTTGAACTTTGGTTCTAAACTTTTATCCCAATGGTTCTTGAAGGCAAATGTTACTATTTTGGATTTGTCCTGCAACTTACCAGGTTCTGGAATTCCAGAACCTCGAGCAGTTCCTGGAATTCCAGGAACTGTGTGTAGTGAACATGTTTATCTTTCAAGTTGGAGTCATCTCTTGCAGAGTTTCCTCTTCCATTTTTGAACTTTGGTTCTAAACTTTTATCCCAATGGTTCTTGAAGGCAAATGTTCCTGCAACTTACCAGGTTCTGGAATTCCAGAACCTGGAGCAGTTCCTGGAATTCCAGGAACTGCGTGTACTGAACATGTTTATCTTTCAAGTTGAAGTCATCTCTTGCAGGGTTTCCTCTTCCATTATTGAACTGCTCTGTGCGGCCGCAGGCTGCGATCAACACTGTGCGGATAGAGTCATGCAGATCGAGTCATATTGTCAGTGCCTCAAGCAATCAAGAAATCTTTCAGATTCAGAAGTTCAGGACCAAATCAATATATTCAAGCTATATCTCGACAAGTGCGTATCATTGGCTCAAAATACTTGAGCCTAAACTGCTCA